TCTTGAAATATTTTTAGAGCATTCTTAATGGTTGAGATACTAAGATATATAATATTAATAATTTATAAATAATTTAATTAAACATTTAAAATTTAACTTAAAAAAGAATTTCAACCAATAAAAAAATAATAAATAATAGAAGGATATCTCAAATTTTTTTGTTAGGTATCTCCAACTAGAACTGTTTCTCATATTTTTTTTTTTCTCTCTTATTTTTTCAATTTTTTTTGTTATTCAACTGGTGAGATACCCTTTTACATACTACAAAGTTAGTTTTAGAGATTTAAAAACACACTTACCATTTTGTGATTGATTCTATTCTTTTTTTACTTCAAAAATTTATTATAAAATAAAATTATTGAAAAGACACTAATATAATATTTGATAAAATACTCAAAAGAGTATCTAATCAATAAAGATGCTCTTAAAATCATATTTTATCTTAATAATATATTAATTTGAGTAGTATTTTTTATTATCCTAAATTTCTAAGTGGCTTGGAGGTCTGTTGTAATTTTACTTACATAAGCTAATTAAGGAGTATTGTCTATTTTGCTCAATTTCTAAGTGTATTAACATCATCTTTGAGATTGAAATAATTGGGGTAAAAGCTTAAATATTTTATGTGGTTCATGAACAGAAGCCTCCACTCTCTTTTCGAAGCCACTTCGATTTCTGACACCACATAGTGACATAGGTAATAATAATTATATAGGTTGCAATTGCATGATTTGGTTCAGCTGCCGGTTTATCATTTTTGTTGTGGTTATTGTTGGCTTTCTATTCAATTGGGCTTGTGAGACATTAAATGGCTTAAATTTGGGCCTGCATGTATTGAGCAGATGTAATCATGTGGTTGTTAAGATAAGCAATCTGTTGTCGTTCTGTCCGATGTCACCTTTCATCTCTAACTAGTCAACGTCAATCGTCTCATGTCTAACTTCAACATCCAGTGTCTCTAGACTATGGTAACTATATGCAGCGGAGCGGTTTTCCAGCTTTTGCTACGTGGACCTCTTTTGTATGTCACCTTCAATTAATATTGATTTGGTACGTTTTTGATTTAAGAGGACGAAATAATTTTAACAAATGAATGCACCAGATGCCGAAGATACATATGCAACAAAAGTCCATACTAATGTTTTTCTTTTTTCTTCAATTGAAAATCTCTCAAAATTTTTTTATACATTACAGTAGTCTTCCCGACTCACACAAATCTATCTGATAAAAAGGGTTTGCTTAGTCCAAGTGTAAGAAATTTTTAAATTAAACAAATATTATACTCACAGGCGACAATGAAGTTATTATAGTCACCATTCAATTTTTAAATTGTCTAGTTTCCACTGTTTGTTATATTGTTTGGTTAGCAAATTTTGTAAGATTAATGGTTAGGTTCAAACAATATCATTTAAAAGAAAAAAGAGGTTGTGTACTTTTCATCAGGTGATCAATTCAGTTGGCCACATTGCAACCCAAAGCACTGACATTTGTGTAAATGATATATAATTGTATAAGGTTTCGACTAGCTAGAAACAAAAACTCGTATGTGGAATCCATTTCCTAAGTATCATTAAAATGTATATACACACCGACGTAACATGGTTCATATATTATTATTTTTGGGCGTGAAAAGTATAAGATATTGATTTTATATGTCGAGAAGCTTAGATTGTTGATTTATATGTTTTTTTCATAGTTGAGAGATTACCCACAATACTACATAAGCTTCAACGGGTGACCAAGAGAACGAGGAGGAATAATGAATTCTTCTTTATTTTTTAAAATTTTTACCATTTGCTAGTAATAATATTTTCCTATCATTCTTTCTTATTCCTTATCATATAAAGAATTATAGAACAAATGTATTCCTTATTAAAATTGGGGTGGAACAAAATATATTTATTTACTTCTTTATATATTTTTCATTCCTATTCATTCTTTTTCTTTTGTTCCTTTGATTCTTTAGTACCTTTAAACTGCGTTAATCATTCTTCTCCAAATATAAACCGTACTAGTTGAATGCATATTTGGTATGACCAAAAAAGTTTTATTCTAACCTATCGAACATTACAATGAACTAATTCATTGTAAAATTCATATTTCAGTTAAATAATTTATACTTGAGATAACATAGTGCGTACTGCACAAAGATTGATGTAGATACACTTCGTGTAAAAGAATGATGTGTATATATAAGTCGGAAGAAAAGAATGGACGTGGAATCTCGACAAGAAGACCGTTCTGAAAGTATAAATGGGTACAAAAGACTTTTGTGCGTGGTAGACCAATTGCTCTTCCCCTTTGTGATTCCCATGTGACTGCGAGCCTCAAATTTGGAACCTCCCCATATGATATCACTTACGTGTCTTTTCTTAAATAAAAGACCATACGAATATTATGTTCTTTTTCTTCTCATACATGCAAATTCAAAACTTACCTGTTTACACAATATATATTATTCAAGTTTTGAGAAAAAAGGAAGAAGAAAAATAGTTAATGGAATTTTAGCTTTCATTTTTGAGAAAGAGTGGCAAGCCTAGTGACTACTCTCCTTACGGATACCATTTCTCTCATAAAATTGTTATAAATAATTATAATTAGATATTATATTTAACAAAAAAATATTTTCAAAAACACTTTCTTTTCACTTCGGCATAACATTTCGGTTATATCAACCTTTGTAATCACCTCATCTTTTAAAGCTATTAATAAAGATCATATTCTCCAAAACTCACAACTGTTAATCAAATCCTTAATAGTGATTTTCTGGTTCAACACCCATTTTGATTCCATGTTTTTGGTTCCCATGACCACGAACTACACTTTTCCAAATCATTTCCTTAGCGTTGTCGATTGTTTAACAGGTCTTTCTCAAAAGATTCATTTTTCCAAAGGTGTCCTAAGATCCATGGAATCACTACGGGTCTAATTTTGACAAATTTTCTTCAGCTTCCTAAGGACCCAACGAGGCGAACTTGTTAGAACCAAGACAATACTCTGATTTTTATTTTTATTTGGTACTATCCATGTGGTTAGAACGAGGTGCATAAAAAATAGAAGCAGTGGCTGGTAAAACTTGTTGGAATCCTACATCGGAAGTTTAAAGGGACCAACACTAGTATATATAAGACTTGGACTAATCCATTCACAGTCAATTGGTTTTGAGTTGGAAGCCCATATAACTTAACATGGTATCAGAGCCTCGTTTGTTAACCCAATAGGGTGGCCCAAAAAGGGTTTATTACTGGTCCTAAAGTGGAATTCAGTTCGAGATGGGCTGATAAGAGCCATCATCTCGAGGGGGCGTGTTGGAATCCCACATCGGAAGTTTAAAAGGATCAACACTAGTATATATAAGACTTGGGCCAATCCACTCACAACCAATTGGTTTTGAGTTGGAAGCCCATATAACTTAACATGGTATTAGAGCTTCGTTTGTTAACCCAATAGGGTGACCCAAAAAGGATTTATTACTGGTCCTAAAGTGGGATTTAGTTCGAGATGGGCTGATAAGAGCCATCATCTCGAGGGGCGTGTTGGAATCCCACATCGAAAGTTTAAAGGGACCAACACTAGTATATATAAGACTTGGGCCAATCCACTCACAGCCAATTGGTTTTGAGTTGGAAGCCCATATAACTTAACAAAACTTGGGCAATCTCCAGAATTGGAGATCCATTAGATTCATGTGTCTTGGTAGTACAAAACACGGATAGATGAGGTGTATAAACAAGGACATTCTCAATGACCGATGCTATAGATGGAGTAAATGAAAGTATGATTTGATGAGATTTCTAATCGCAAAATATGATAAACGCAAAAAATGGTTGCTATTCCTAACTATGTGTTGTTCATCATCTTTGTTTTTCTGAGTTTGATTTGATGAAATTTCTCTCGATGATGGATTTGAATACTACACGTTGTTAGCAGTTATCAGTACCTTCCTCTTACCAGACTTCTGTCCACAACTTTTCTTGGTTTATGCATCGTATCACCATGCATTACTCAAATGAATTCTTCTCTACCTTGCAAGCACCCTTTAGATCAGTTTCTTCTTTGCTTGCGGTAATTCTCTTTCACTTCATGCTTATTTTGATGCATATATTGGACAGCTAACCAAATTTATTATATTTTGATGGTGCATATACGTTTTCTTCCTGAATAAACACTCGATTTCTTAGCTTCCCAAGAAACAAATGGAGGTAGCTCAATCATCCACTGAAGTGGAGTCTCGTGATGTTATTGCATCTATATATGTCTTAAGTTTGATGAGTAAGTGAACTTGCTATTCTTGCGACTAGATAGCACCAATGATTTTTGTGACAATGTGGGAGGTACATATTTTATAGTGCGAATTTAGGTTTGCACTCTTGCATGTAAGATATAGTTTTGGACAATCACTTAATCCAAAAATAGGTCCAATTTGGTTTTTTGCATGTCTCGGCTTTCGTACGTGTCATCTGCAGATCATCTTGTTGATAGACTCACGAAAACCCACTGGTCCAGACGCGCTTTGACTTCGTCACTATTTGTCAAGATCGGACTAACGATAATCGCGGTCCATTTTCGAAAACGTATTAGAATATATTTCATATTTGTAAATATCTTTTGTATCTACTATATAGGATTCTTCTAAATCTACTTGTGTATTTGTAACTACTTGTAATACAAATTACGATTAACCTCTTACAAAAATTAGGCTTAACCTCTTATAATACTTGTAATATATTAAATTATTTTTCATTACTATTAGTTGTTTTCATTTTATATAAAAAATTCAATTAAAAATATTTGACCAAATATGACATAATATTTGCAGATGTTCTACCGCGTCAAAATACTAAAAGTAAAAAGTTCCACGCCAGAACACCAATTTCTTAGGGATACGGAAGCAAAACTAAGTTTTAAACAACTTTCGTGTGGACTGGCAAATTAGTGACTCCAAAACTTGGCTTTTTAAATGATAATCTAAAGAGGATTCAAAGAATAATAATTACGAGTAGAGCGAAAAGATATGGTTTATAACTCTTAAAACAGGATTTATTTATTGATCACAGCACGATTTCCAGATACCTGGAAAGAAAATGATGGGAGAAAGAGGTACACAAGACCTAACTAAAACTACGAAAACCACAAAAAAAAAAGATTATTAAAGAAAAAAAAAGTTAGCTAGAGTGCACAACTCAAACAATGCATTATTAATAAGTCTCTAAATAAGATTTTATACTTAATCTTGGTTTTGGTTCTCGACATCCTTGATGTTCGCATCTTTCGGACCGGTCATGTTCTGGCTCTTGACCTCGGCCACTTGAATTTGAGTCTCCGGAACATCGTGAATAGCAGGTGGTATATGAACCGATGAGTCCAAAATTGGACCGGTCATAGTTAGCTTCCCTATGTCGATGGAATGATCCGACGCCGTTTTGGATTTCTCTGTCTTCTCTGCCATCGGAGTTTTGTAGTACTTGAAGATTACGTAGAGAATCATTTGAACAGCTCCTAAGAATGCACCCAACACATTTGGAAGCTTCAATAGTTCAAAATTAGATGTAAAAGGACATTAGTATTCCATTTCTTGCCGACATAGGACGCTAGGAAAAAAATGAAAACAGGAAAATTTACCGACATCGCATCAGAACAAATTTACAATTTTGTGTGTTTTAGTATTCTATTGTACATTTAGTGGGTCCAATTATTTATATAATATGCTAAACATAAAGCGAATTATATGCGTACGGTTCAAAATCATATATTCGTTGCCACGACATTCATATTAGACTAAAAGCCTTTACATTTTTAGTTGGAATTGAGGAAAAGAGACAAAGGTAACTCTACTCTTTTTACTTTATTAAAGAACCACCCATAAATACTCTAATCATTTAGTGTTGATCTGTCCGTTATTATATGCTTACAAATGATCGAAGCTGAATAAAATAAATAAACTCACCGCAACGTAGAAGTCTTTAATAGCAAGACCGTAGAAAAGCCACGTGACGGCGCTAAGTGTAAGAAACAACGATAGAGAGAAAGGCATAAACTCCACACTTCTTGTTCGTACCACCACTCTCTGCGCCAAATGATTAATTAATTAATATTCCCAAAGTGAAACTATATAATATATTCCATATAACCAGGAAAGGAAAGACAAATATAAACTATTTATTGATATGAATATTTATCAGGTAAAATACGTAAAAAAAAGGCTCATTCTCCTTACAAAAATCTTACTATATAGAAGTATTTGTATGCATGTCTAGAAATATACATAATACGTACCATGATACTTAAAGGAGCTGCGAAAACAATGACGGAAAATCCAACGCAAATCCCTCCGAGAACTTTCTCACGTGTCGATCCTTTGGTTACGAGCTCGCAGACAAGAACAATGGCAGCAAAACCCAAAAAGTTCAAGAGACCAAGAACCTTCAAAGTGGAAATCTGCAACATCATTTCAACCATCTAGCTATTAGCAAATCGTATAGAAAAGCATTTATATGTATCTGTAGTATATGTATATGCATGTTTATGATCACCGTGAAAGCGAAAATAACATGTTAAAACATAATAAAATGTTGAAACATACTCTAGTTTTCTTGTTAGCATAGGTTACGAAGAGGACGATGTAGATGGTTTCGATGAAGCACCCAACAGCGTTTATGGTGATGAGAAGGAAGCCTGAGCCATCTTTTTGCATAGCATAGTAAATCCAAAGCAACGCGCTAAACAGTGCTGAAAGATAGGGTAGAGACTGAAATCCTTCCGTAGATTTCTTCTTGCATATCCTTACAAAAGTTGGCCTACATAAGGTTTAAAAAAAAGGGTTGAATTAACTCGAAAAAATGACAAAGTAAAAGGAGAGACTTTGTAAGAACATGTTGATGCTTACACTGGGGCCAAAAACACGACAAATGATATGATGTTACCTGCAAATTTACAACGTAGAGAACATTATGTTATTTTTTTGACATCTAAACAACGTTGTTTAAAATGGTATAATAGAGGTTGCTGTTATAGATTTTGAACAAAAATCATTTGTGAATATTTTTATTTACGTACCCATGATTCCAAACGCAAATGCCCATACATTGTGAGGTAAACCCATTTCTTGCTGTTTTCTTGATTATTTATCTCTCCCTTTTTGGGACTATCGAAAAAAGTATGAACGGGAAAAGAAATATCGAAGACCAAGCAAAAGAGAGAGATAGACTTCGTGAAGCCCCGTCTAACTCTTCAACCAAGCTCTAAGTTTGTGAGTTTCAGCTATGAATTTACAATGCCAATGATGGGAGGTATATATAGAGGGTTCACATGTGAAAGGGTGCAAATGTTAGTACGTTTAAGACGACATCGTTTCCAAAGCGATGAGAGAAGGACAAGTCACATTATTAGTCCCAGATATTTACACATGATGTTTTCTTTTAAATGAAAAATGTATGATATTTTCATGTGGTATGCACTCTTCTCGTCTATTATATTAGTATCAAACTTTTTACGCCAAACGTATGTTTTATATTTTTAGTATCGTACTCATACGAATGAGTTCTAACAAATTTCTTTTCTTTTAAAACAAAAAGAAGACAAATAAAGAACGGTCGATAGAGGTTTATCTTAAAGTCATTAAACGAGTGGTTACTTATTATTGTGGGTGTAACCCCTGATCCGCTGCTAGCTAATTTGTAGTTAAGCATTTTATTCTCTTCTTTTTTTGCTGAACAGTTAAGCATTTTATTCAATATAATATAAACCATTATACGCCTTTTCATTCAATTTAAATCACCTTTCAAAGTATATGATTCTCTAATACGTAATCAACAGGAGAGTCGAAGCCAAATGATTCCATAATACCTCTTAATTTAACCAATCAGAGTATACATCGCACAATAATTTTGGTAAATTTTCTAAAAGTTTGGCTGATACAATCGAGTTTTAAGAACGAATCTACTAACCCACAAGATTATGGTTAAGCGAGACGGTATTATATTACGGTGTCCAACTACTAGAACCAAATGGTTACACATTAGTATTGCGAGGTTTAGAGTTAATCTAAAGCAAATCGCGTTGATATGTTTTGTTTTTTTATATAGCTAATCAAAGCTAAGTAAACAGGTAATAAACAAGAAAGCAATGTCAAGCAAATTAAATCGGTTATTCAAGTTTCTCAAGCAATTAATACTAGCCGTATCAATCAAATTGCTGAATAACGAAAACTCCATAAGTCGGAGTATGATTTATGTTTTTTTTTTTGGAAAAAAGCTTGAGTATGATTTATGTTGTAAACAACAAAGAAGTGCATAGTATAAAAAGTCACATCGAAATTGCCATTGGGCGGTCCAACAGCAGGTACAACCATTAAAAATTCTAACCGTGATTGCTCCTCTGGTCATCGTACCAGTCAACATAAACATTTTCCATTGGGTCTACGCCACGTGTACCATATTTTATGTTGCCTAGGAGCACCATTCTACTCAATGTTGGCAGCCAAAATTAGGTCCTTAACTAATTTATTAATCCTCTTATGCTCATAACCATGATATTTGTGTTTATCTCTATATCATATATATTTCTTAATCTTTTAATTAACAAAATATCCCCAAGTTTCTCTTAAGATATCTATATTTATTATTAATTGCATTAACGAGTGTGTAAGTTTTAAAACTATTTCATCGAGCTAAGCAAAACTGCAGAAGCAATCTCATGGTTAATTAGTCATTATAAAGTATAACCACTATAATGAAAATTCTAAAAAGAAATGATCTCAAAGAAACTTTTAAGTGGTATTTTTTTTTAGTTTTCCTTTAGTTTGTTTCACCATATAAAAATCAAAAATAAAATAAGAATAGAGTTTTATTGCGTTTTATCTTAACGTGACTGTCGCATGGGTATAGGTAGGATTCAACATCATACTTCTTGATGTTCCACTTGGCTACTTTTCGTGTTATCTAAATTTATCGACATCTACACAAATAATCGTATCAAAGCAAAACTGTCTCACTAATCTTTTTATTTTTCTTTATAGAATATTTTTATCTTATTAATCTATGCATCCACTTTTGTGTGTAAACCAACATTATCAACAAGTTTGTGAAAACTAAAAACGTACAGTTATATTTTTTCATCGGAACATTCATATGGGAAATGGCATATCTATTTGAAGTGACTAAAGTTAATTAGTCACTTGTAATTGTTTCAGTTAAAAAAGAAGAAGATAATGTTTATATATTATACTTTTCGTATAGTTTTATTTTTATTTTTTTTGTTAAAGCTTTTCGTATAGTTTCAAGGGGCATTCTAACGGAAAATCATACTCATATGACTATGTGGCATCCTTCTTCTTCCTTTTTAAACCACAACTAATTGTATCTTCACTGCAAACCCTACATTCCTTGAAAAAAAGCTAATTCTGCCTTTAAATTTGTAGTAAACCTGCTTTTTCTAATTGAAAAGCACAATGCAAAAGCTAATAGTAAATCGTAATGCTAAACAAATGCAAAACCTGAAGTTTTTTTCCACGCTACCTTAAAACTCCTTGGGGGTCGGACGCTAATCTTGAACTGACCAGGCGCTTTTTGAAACTGAGTGGCAAACTCAAGCGCACATCATAATCGCATATTTCTAACATTTAAATTTATCCACAAATGTTACAACTTAAATACAAATAAAAGACGTATATGTACCAAAGACATGGCACCATATATATTAACCAAAAACGTATATTAATATGTTTTCACAGTTTATATTCAACATTTGTTCGGATATTTTTTTGTTCATCAAAATCAATATATTTCACTGTAGTTAATATAATAAATATATATTCATGTCAACCTTTACATAAAAACAGATTAAGTTAATATTTTGCACATATATAAATAATAATATTTTCGACAACTCCGAATTTAAGAAAATTGATCAAAACTCAAAGGTTTAAATCTAAAACCGAAATTAGAAACGAACACATTTCAATCAAGGACCTAATTTTGGAAGCACCATAATACTAAAAAGTTCGAGCTCGAGGCCCGTATAAATGACATTTGAAAAATCTATAGTTTGATCTATTGATTAAGACGGATGAATATGTGTCTGATGACAAAGTTATTGTTGATACTTGATATATATATATAAATAAATAAATAGAAAGAAAGACTGAGTATTTTTAGCATATTTCTTTTTTGGATAAATCTATGATTCCTGTTTGGTTCCATATTTTCAGTCATTTACTAATATTTGCATGTCGACTTTGTCAATAACCTTAAAGGTTGTTGTCGATATCGTTTTTTGTTTCTTTTCTTATAAATTTGAAATTGTGCAGTATTATAAAGTGGTTAGCAAATCAGCTGCGAGAAAATACAACACGTTTAAAAAGTTTAAACATTCCATCCGGATCATCATTGTATACAGTATAAGAGATTGTACTGAATGATTTCATTAGATGTTGGGAATACACTATATGTAGCGAATGTACAATGCTAGAAAGGAAACTAATAAGTACAAAATATATACTTTTTATATTTATCTCCTACACGCCTCATCAAGATGGAGATAGTTGTCGAACTCCAATCTTGGATATCAGTTTTTGAAAACATGGTCTTGGTAGAGTCTTCGTAAATGGATCCGCGAGTCGATCACGAGTGGAAACATGAGATACATGCAGTGTGCCAGCTTGGACATTGTCGTGGATGAAATGGAAGTCGAGTGCCAAATGCTTCATTCGAGAATGGAAGACCGGATTCGCAGAAAGATGTGTTGCACAGATGTTATCACAATAAATAACTGGTGCGTTTGGTATAGCAATCCCGAGCTCGGTGAGTAGTGAGGAAATCCAGCGGATTTTGGATGCCGTGTTCGCTACTGCTCTATATTCAGCCTTAGTAGAGGACCGTGCCACACCTCTCTGTTTTTTAGATGACCAGGATATGGAATTTCTGCCAAGATAAATCACATATGCATTTGTGGAGACAAAATCATGCGTATCCCAGCCCAGTCAGCATCGGAAAAACCATGAAGATTAAGTGGAGAATTAAAGCAGAGAAGATACCATGAGATTGTGTTCCAACTAAGTATCGTAGTATACGTTTCACGGCGCTCCAATGCTCATCAGTTGGTTTAAGCATGAATTGAGATAATTTGTTGACGGCGAATGCTATATCTGGGCGTGTGAATGATAAGTATTGCAGACTCCCTACAACTGTGCGATATTCCCGTGGATCATTTAGAGCTTTACCAGAATGAATCGAGAGCTTTGGGGTCAGAGACATTGGTGATGCGACCGGTTTGGCAGTGAGCGTCCTCGTTTTAGTCAGCAAATCAACAATGTACTTTTGTTGCCTGAGGTGAAGACCGTCCTTTGTACGCTTAGCTTCAATACCTAAGAAATAACTCAATTCACCAAGATCCTTAAGGGAAAACCGAGTTGTCAAAGACGAAATTATTTGACTAACAATGGCCGTGCTGCTTCCAATGATGAGCATGTCATCGACATAGACAAGGATGTAGATAATATGCTGACCTTTTCGTTTAATGAAGAGCGAGGTGTCGGCCACTGAATTTCTGAACCCAAGATGCAGCAGATGAGCTCGTAGTTCTTGATACCAGCCCCGGGGTGCCTGCTTTAGGCCGTAGAGTGCCTTTTTTGACGACAAACATGATGAGGTTTATCACGATCAGTAAACCCCAGGGGTTGAGCTACATAAAATTAATCAGTGAGTCGTCCTTGGAGGAAGGCGTTATTGATATCGATCTGCCTGATACTCCAATTTTTGCTAACGGCAACATAAAGAACCGAGCGAACTGTGGCCGACTTGATCACGAGACTGAAAGTATATGTGAAATCACGGCCTGCCTGTTGATGAAAACCCCTAGCGACCAGTCGCGCTTTATACCTGTCAAGTGAGCCATCATGTTTATATTTCAGGGTCAAAATCCATTTACAGCCCACGATGTTCTGTTCTGGTGAAGGTGGGATGAGTTCATGAGTGCCATTACGGATTTGTGCGTCAATCTCCTCACACATCGCTTGTCGCCAATTCGGATCCTTCATTGCCTCAACAACGGTTTTAGAAATTTTCAATTTTTGTGATGTTGCAAGGCGGGCATATTTCGGGTTAGGTTTGATAATTTTATTTTGGGCACGGGTACGCATAGGTGGTGGTGGAGGAGGTGGGGGTGGTTTCGACGATGGCTGAACACGGGATGAGGAAGAAGAAGGTTGTGTGGATGGGCCAGAATTTCGTGGGTTTGAATTTGATGGTGCTGTTGTTGGGCTAG